TGCAACCGTATATGGTTTTTTATATGTTATGAGTAACTTATATTTCAGATTTGAACGAAATCGGTGAAGAAATGGAATTTTTAGAAAATTTTCCATCTACACTCATAATACTCTTTATGTAATGAGTGTAGCGGGAGAATTTTCTAAAAAATCCATTTCTTCACCGATTTCGTTCAAATTTGAAATATAAGTTACTCATACCATATAAAAACAATATATGGTTGCAAAAATCTAGATTTTTATTTTTTTTAAATTATTGTCCAAACAGTGATTCGAACCCCTGTGCTTTCGTGAACCAGGGACACCAGTGGTTCTTACGAGTTATGTCCCTTTTGTGCCCTTCACGTCAGCGAATCAGATTCCACTTGAAACAAAATGGTGGCGCCCGGTCTAGATGATCATTCGTCACCACTCGCCCCTTTCCGTAACCTGCAAGAAGTCGCTATTCGGCTTGTCCCGGAATAACACGAGTTAGTCACGAATGTCTAGATGATATGATCAAGATATATATTGTAATAGAATGGTTCTTACCTGATGAAGTGCATGTGTTTGCAATTAACTTGAGCATCTTGTATAAAACAAAAAATGGCGGGAACATATCTATCGATGCCCAGTTGACGGTACACATGTTTTGCAAACCCTGCTACCCACCGAATTCTCCACATCAATCTACGAACCGCTACGACTGTCGTAAGTCTTTGTTAAAGTATGGGAGTTACGATCACCTTAGCGCTATATGATCGCTTTGTGAAACGGGGGCCCGGATGTAGATTTCGTAAACTCAATTGATTCAGGAAGATACTTTCAATTTTTTAATGGATTTATTTGCTTCTGAATTGGGATAACTTATGTATTGCACTGACAACTTTGAATTCCAACACAAAAAAGAGACTATTCTGTGCAGACACAATTTTGATTTCGTAGAAAAGATTTAAAATGATCATATTGGCAAAACCCTGGTAGAAGCATTCACACTGGTGTGATCACCAGACATTGTTGACTGCCTCCGCCTCCAAAAGACGTTAAAATATGGTACTTGTTGGTCCGTGCCTGGCGCTCGGCATTAATGGGTACCACAAGGACTGGTCGGCTCGCAGTCAGTATAATCAGAGACCATATATGGCATGGTATCTCAGTGGGCTAGCACTATAAAACCAGCTTAAGTCTGGGCTAGTACAAGCAGCCGCACATACACATACACATACACATACACATGCACATGCACATACACATACACATGCACATGCACATACACGTCGTCATATGAGCGAAATATTCTCAAGCACGACGTTAAAATCAATTTCACCTCACCTCACCTCACCAGACATAGTTTACACTGGTCGCATCTTGGACATGGGGCCTCAATGTGTTTTCTATTATAAATCAATTTATAATATACGGACAGGCCCAAACCATCTTTATATACACATCTGTTGTCTGTGATAGATTGGCGATGCAGGAGAGGCTCTTAATGTATCAGTAAATCAGCTGGGGAGGACATCGGATCGATTACACAACAAAGTAGCAGGGCAACTGATGCATTGACGAGGAATGTCTGGAGTCTGGCGCACTGTCGTCAGTAACAGCATCAACTGCGGTTCGATGACCTCATCAGCATGGCCGTGCATAACTGTAAGTGCACGTGCAAGACCGCGAGGGAGTGGCGCCGCAGAGGGATGAGCGCGACTTGTGCGTACTCATTTCTAGGTCTAGGTCAACCCATCCCTACCAGGGTGCAGACAGTGATGAATAATCAATCTTTTTGTTGGTTCATCGATATATGTTGTTGAATGTCATTTTGGTTGGTTTGTTTGCAAGCTTAAAGCCGCTGTATAATATTACAGGTTTCTGGTAGCGGCCTGTAAATAGTAAAATCTGGAACACACAATCCAGTGATTGGTATTATGTTCAACGATCCATGCCGTTGGGGTACTGTGACACATCTGCGTGATGGAGCTAGTATATACCGAAATTAGGTCATTTTACAAACATATCGTCTTCTCAGGGGCATACCGGATCAGAGCTTCAGAGTTTACTAACACCGGGTGGTCAGGTGACTCATGGTTCTATTCCCTTTTGCAGCGTCTAAAATTCCCGCCTGCCCGACCGTCCAGAACGGTCTATTTTCATCTTGGACGGTCAAATTTCAAAAGTAGCCTGGTGGTCTGGTAGATATTTCATAATTTCAGTAAATATTTCATAATATCAGACAGGTTCTCTTGTCGTCAGTTTGAGGTGTTTACGGTATTATGATGATTATGTTAAACTACTTACGATTAGACAGTTCATGTTACGATAACGCTTTCAGTTTACCTAAACTCTGTGCATTGCCTGTTAGTGCTATGTAGTTCATTGCGATGCCTTCAAACAGTAACCTGACTAACTTGATTTTGTTTGTTTTTAATTGTTGAAAACCGGACAGGCAAGTTGTATCCAGTCCTGCTGTCTAGCTTGGAAATTTAGGAGTTTTAAACACTGCCTTATGCCGAGCACCAGCATTTGGTCATTCTCTTCCCACAGAAGTTACTCCTGTCATATCTTCCTACGTAACCTCTGTTCTAATACGGCCATATTTTCCGGTTCTCGTAAAATCCCCTAGCGGCATAAGATCGCAAGACGAATGATCTCCCTTCTTTCTATCCAATCAGAACACGTGTTACATCGACTTAGATTCAACTTGACTAACACAAGCAAATGTGAGGCCACAAATATCCCCCCATTTGCCGGGGACTTGTGTTGATGTTACACACAAGACGTTTAATGGCCAGCTTGTCCGTTGTCAACGAGGGCGATGGAGTCGCAACTGATCCGCCATAACATGACTGAGTTCTGTCTAGAAGAAACGTTTGCGCATCGCGCAGGGGGAAGAGGTTTAGTTTTCTCGAAGTATACGGAAATTACCGAGGCCTTGCAAATGATCACTTTTGAAACAACGTCGCTGATTGCACAACTAAATCTGATTGCCTCCAATCACGAGTCTTGAACGCTCACACCATGAAAGGGCCGTATTAGAACAGAGGTTACGTAGGAAGATATGACAGGAGTAACCTCTGTGGGAAGAGAATGGCATTTGGTATGAAGCGGCCAGTAATCGACCACTGACCTCCCGCTCTCCGAGCAAACGCACAAGCCACTTGCTACGGAAACTATCTTAAAGCTCCTGAATAGCATCCAAACAGAACTGAATTGTTATAATGACTCTTTGATCAGTCTTTCAGCTATGTGAGAAATATAATTTCAAAAATGATATATCCAGACAAGCTATAGTTATTGTAACGATGATGACACAGCCATCTCGAGATAATGAATCATTTCTAGACGAGCACGTGCCCCACGAGTTGCCTATCGCCCTCCGATCAGAGTACAAGAAGATAGACGCACCCTCAGGGATGATATCGCTGTGAAAACGAGGTTTCATCACTGTGGGCCGACAGTTTTGCAAAAAATGACCTTGACATAATCACTGTGTGTTGTGCAATACACGTGTGTGCTTGCCAGTCAGATCAAGAAATACTGAAACCTATAGCATTACACTTATATTATTTCAATAATTTACTTATTTGTGATATAATAGCAATAAAAGTTTGTTAAATTAAACAAACCACTACATTTTATTTGACATTCAAATTTATTTCATTTCTTAAATTTGAAAAAAAGTAATTCGTGGATACCACTAGATATATAATCGGTGTTATATGTTTATTTTAAAGGTCAACGTTCGTATTAAGAAGACGTGGACGACGGTCATTCCCTAAAAGTCCGTATATGCCATAATATGGAGGTGTAGACTAACATCTAGTCTCTGAAATGAACATATTTTACAGAAGAAAAACAAATCATAAAAAATAACATATAATGAAAAAGATCCCAGAGACTTTCTTCATTTTCCGAAACTGTGGAAATCTAGACTTGCCACACATTCTAGACTTGCATGGGCTTTCTCGGATATATTTGTTTCAGGATCTGTATGACAGGCTAATGTCATAGGCCCTCGTTTCTTTGCGAGGATTAAAGATTTATAAAATATTGTTTTTGAGATGACCCCCGACTCAAAATGCTTCACAGTACATATACATCATGACAAGGCCGGACACTTCGATGCACCCCGGGGTGGTGGGGTAGCCTAGTGGTTAAAGCGTTGGCTCGTCACGCCGAAGACCCGGGTTCGAATCCCCACATGGGTACAATGTGTGAAGCCCATTTCTGGTGTCCCCCGCCGTGATGTTGCTGGAATATTGCTAAAAGCGGCGTAAAACCATCCTCAGTCAGTCAGTCAGTCAGTCGATGCACCCTAACCGACTGTTTGTCGATAGCTACGCTACCATCGAAGTGTTCGGCCTTTTCATGATGTATTGTACTGTGAAGCATTTCGAGTCGGGGTGTCATTTCGATTTTTTTTATATTTTTCAAAAATCTTTAATCCGAGCAAAGACGCGAGGGCCTGTGGCTAATGTCGGTGTTACAAATTAAAATTATGCTAAAGATACCGGATTCAGAATAAGAGTTGATCAGAAATATTACACTGATTTCCGTTTAAAGCTTCCCGAATTGTGAGTAAACTGAAACTGAATTGTGCACTGTATTTCCGCAATTCGCTTTCACACAGCGAGCAAAGCGATACATTACTGGGGTATATTATCCTCTCCGAGAACCTTGCATACAGCGAATGTGCTCGGGATGGAAACTCCACATAAGTGTATTATCTCTTCATCACACAAACAACAAACTGTATCGAACCCGCCAGCGCTGTCCGGAGCTGTTCTCTTACTCAACGCCGTATCTACCTTACCTTTGAAACTGGTTTAACTGTAGAACACTTTCATGTCGCTGCATTGAGTGTGTTTCTATAGATCAGGAATCATTTTCACTATTTATTTCCAGGCTTTGTGTGTGATAGCAATTACAGTGTAAATGACAAGCGCGCTGCACATGATTAAAACATGTTAAAACAAGCAGCGATTCCTACCTTGATCGTATGAAAGTCACGTGATATAACATGTGACGTCACGATGTGACCTGACCTCTGAACCCAAACCAGTGGGCCAAATCCATGTTGAGATTGTGAATGGAAGTAGATCGTTGGTGTTATGTCTCCGACAATGTTGGACATTCGCCGTGTGTTAAAATGGGGCCAAATCGTTGTCAACGTTGCAGTGATGATTCTAAGCATGTGTGTGCTGCTGCCGTTGGGATATGTGTGGAAGTATTTCAATTCGAGCTGCCTCTTGAATGCCGATATCTTCGTACAGGTGTCGCAAAACAAAACTGTCCAGCTGAATGTCGACAAGACAAAGTGGGGCGACAATACCCTGTGTTTCTACACTACATTTCTACCAGTGGTTGTGGCTATCCATTCCTTCATTTGGACCTGGTTTTTCGTATACGTAAGGAGATCGGTGAAGGAAGGCGGGTTAGTATTTTTATTTACATTAATATTGATTTTTTTATTAACTTTTCTCTCCCAGGTATAACAGTTGTTATATATTTTACTCCCGTGTGTTGAACCATGTTTTGTATAAACGTTCACGTAGTATTTCATTTCCGTGCACAGCATACAGTGCTCGTCTAATTTTCATAAATGTTTGTTTACGTTTTTTGTGTACACATATTATGTATAATAATAATATTGGTAATACAGACTTATGTTTTGTGATATCAAAACAGAAGTTTTTCAGTCACACACGCGCGCGCACACACACGCACATCCCCAGATCAAGGCACACCTATATTATTTTTTGTTAAACCTGGTATCATGTTTTGGTTAACTGTTGATATTTTGAGGGTCTGTTTACACAGGTTTTCATTCCCGCAATAAAACTGTTCAGAGATTGTTCTAAGATAGTTTGGCGTCATTCTCATAACTTTTTATCCTGTATTGAACATTGGAGCTTCCGTCGTCATCCCTTAACTGAGATAGCACGCCATGTTAAGCGGTTACACACAGCTGATCGATTTGAAACACTGCAGAAGGCGTTCTCAATGTACCCTACCTGGCTCCTTGTCCAACTGAATATAGGTATAGCAATATCGTTATCTATATTTACGTGCATGGATTAAATGCCAGTATGTCTAAGACGCTGGCCATATCTACCCCACTGTGTTAGTCAGGAAATAGATTACCACCTATGTCAGAGATATATGTAACAGCACTCGTCTACACCCCCTGGCAATATCCAGTACAGATGAAATGCACGCACTGCGCAGTCTCAAGTGTAGATGTGAAGGAGGGGCATGACACGCACATGCATGTGCTGTACACCATTGCACACGTCAGCACGGCGACATAAATAACACATACTCTGATACAATCTGATGTGCATGAAATAGACATAATTCCGCACCTGTTCAAAGAAATCTCTTAGTTATTTCCCGAGCTTCTCATTATTGTACACTACACAAAAGAAGTTAAGGACTTCCCATTCTGTCATGCTGTAATAGATTAGCTATGGTAACATGAAAGAATAATGTTGTTTTGTGTTGTACACATTGATGTATATGTTAGCCTCAAGCAACTATCGGTAGCCCTACATGTGACTGCACGTTAATTATTACACTGTTCAACCCTGAGTGGTCTGTGAGTGATAGGTTGCCAGTTATACACACTGTCGACGCAGCTGTTTGCTTTACACTGGTTATTAGTATTGATATAAGTAGTCTGCAAACAACATTCCTGTACATGCACAGTGTGGAGACACACATTGTCGTCGGCAACAACACTGACAATTTGTCATTAGTAAAATTCAAAACAATACGAAGCTGACGTACTCTTAGTTAGTCTAATACAAATAGTATATTAGATTCCATAATAATAAACAATGTAACTAGTGAACCAAATGGGCTTTACACCAGTAAAATCGGGGTGTGTAACACGATGTGTGTGAACAAACAGAAGCTTTAAGGGGGGTTGTCCAGTGCAACGTAAAAGTTCGGGAAGAAAGACAATTAATCATTTTTCAATTTCGGAACCGTGTTACCTCATCTCTACTTTGCGGAGATTGATGGTGTTTGCTTAATCATAGCAAATGATTATTGCTGTACTCAAACATGGAAGAAGCCTTCTGATTTCTTCATTAAAACTTTATCTGTACCTTCGTTGTAAAAAAACCCGTTTCTTATCTGATAATTCTCAACAAAGATATGTACATACCTCCTATACAATCGTCCGTATACTTCGGAAACAAAACTACAGTACTTAATGGCCCTTAACTGCCTTTTCTCGGAATCGCTGGCATGCAGCTGGAATATTGCAGAGTACGGCGTTTAACTACAAACGATCGATCAATATGTCTTTCTTCGGCTCTAACAGTACCAATTAGAACCTCGGAGTTGTGTGTTATCATACACAGACAGATCAATAATCGAACACCTAGACTGCTCAAGTCGAATCTGTGGTGCAATCAGGCGAGAGGGTTCCCACTAGGATCCCGCGCGGTGGTAGATGCGGATCCAAGATTTTGAAACAGCGTCGACACATTTTGTCCGAATGAAGTCCATTATTTCCATTCACTGGAAATGTTCTAATTGTGATGTCCAGTGATCATTGATATCAAAGATGACTTTGTCACGAAGAACAGCCAAAATTATTCCGCCGAATCTCCCTTTTGCCACCATGGAACACCTCCACCACTGTCTCCAGCAACTACGTACTACAGGGATCGGCCGTTCAACATGGTCAGTCTCTCTTCCACCAGGCTTTTGAAACTTTCCATAACCTGTAGATATACGGACATATCCAAATTTTGTCTTGTACCACTTGATCCCGTTCTTTTCAGTTGAACAATTGACTTGCCATTGCATGTGTTATTGACTGATACCACTAACAAGACAAGATACGCTGGCATTTGGCATACACCTGCTATCATCACTATTTGATGAAGATTCACCAGCACATGCTTATGATATAATCGGAATTGTGCATGGACTCGGATAGTAGCAGAGATTCCGAAATGTGTTTTTTGTTTTGTTATTATTCCACAAAAACAACGTGATTTGAAAATGACTTGGCTTACAAACGCCGGAATTCTTATGATTTTTCTATTATAATTTAATTTTAAGTGCACTTGCACTGTTTCACTCCTTCAATTACGAAACTCTGTACCCGAGCTTGATATGTCTTGTCCTAGAAACCCCTACATTAAGGGAAACCCCGAGCTTGATATGTCTTGTCCTAGAAACCCCTACATTAAGGGAAACCCCGAGCTTGATATGTCTTGTCCTAGAAACCCCTACATTAAGGGGAATAAACCCTGACTGAGCATGGCCATCAGAGAAAGGAAGGCGTTCATGGTACTAACCCCTTTTTGGCACCAATGCAAGCCATTCATGATACGAAACAAATTTTTTGTTGGAGTAATCTGATTTTGTTGGCGTTAAAAATAATGACATTGTCAACATTAATTTGACTTGAATATCACCTATACACCCAGAGTGTTTTGGTTTCTCCAATTGCTCTTTGTTCATAGATACACTACTTATAACGCTTGTTGATATAAATATGACCCTACCGTAGTAAATTTCTTCACCGGTCAATGTTCTATGTAGTATTAAGTGCATGAACTGTGATTTGGATAAGAAATCGACTAATACGAGTTTCATTCTGCAGACGCAGTACTTTCACTAATTACAATGTTTTATAGAATGAACAGGAAAAGTTCGAGAAAATATTTATACACGCAGTCCAATATTACTACCTGAAGATGCGATGACAATAAGCAGTGTATGAAATAAGCCAAAAACCCAGCCGGACATCTGGGCTGGTAACTTCAAAAACTAAAATAGTTTAACTTTAAATACTAAATAGACAGTGCCATTGGACACGTTATCTGAATAATTTTGTTCACCCGTTCATCGAGCTGGCTAGCTGTTAAATTAGACCGTCCGACAGAAATCTAGCCCGTCTCGGACGGTCGGACGGGCCTTATTTCATACACTGCAATAAGTGTTGTTTTCTGCCGCAGTCAGCGTGTAGCAGGTCATACCCCGACTGGACATGTTTTAGACCACCCAGAAGGAGTTAAAGAACAACCGGATCTTCCGTATTGCTGCATGCACGAGGGTCAAACCAAACGATACATTAATACAACCCATGCACATTGTTGTAACCATCCGATCCCCAACCGGCCGGCCCACGAGGGGTGGTGCAATACCTCAACCAGTATCCCTCCGGGGAGGTAGAAACAGGACTAGTGTTTCGTTGATGGGCATCACGGGGGTTCGCTCTTGCTCATATAGGAGATCATGCATAAATATCACCCCCTCCCATTACTGCCTCTCATGTCGACGGTTGATTCATAATGAATGACCCCAAGTACACATGCTGAATGAGTTAACATCCAACTATACCCCAGCAGTATATGGGCAGGATAGCGCTATGGCGGTTGTTTGTATAATACACTTAATCTATTTAATGGACAAGGTGATTGCGTATGAATATGTATTGCGGTTATAAAAATAATCAAATAAATGTTAATAGCTTCAATTACTTAGAAATCTCACAACTATTAAATATTTATTAATGTATTATAATAACCTTCCTCATTGCGCACTTATCAAAGCACTGACGTTGAATCTATTATCGGTCTGTTATTAATTTTGAATATACAAATGTACACATGAAAAAACCGTTGTGGTACAGCTTAATGAAACGGATAGAACACAATACTGACACAAAAATGGAAACAAGCGCAATGTAATATTTCGATTATAAGGGAAAACCAAATGACTTACTCAACTTTATTTCAATAACTAAATTATATATCTACCACGAGTGTATGAATCGCTTACCAAATTTTAATTTATTTTTTATATTTTTTTTATTTCCACTTTTTGGTTACATTTCCATCCATTTTATAACAACAATACATACACGTACATATATATGTGCATATAGATGTACACAGGATTGTGGCTCGTTTAAATGTCATATCTAAGACATTACACTGGCTTACCAAATTTTAATGGTCTAAAGGTCATGTAAAAGAATTCATGTCATTTCAAACAAGTTCATTGCATATTGAAAATGCATATTTGGAAAGTATTTGATAAGCGATACATTGAAAGAACCGGATGGTCCTTAACATTACCCTAGTAGTATGATGTCAAGACGTGTGAGTGAGTTAACAGTAGTTTGGGTTTATCATAGCCTGTTCCACTTATGTTGGAACGACTGAATGTTGGTTTACGCAACAGCCCGCACTTGCTTCAGTTTTTACGCCACCGCCTGTACATTCTCTGTCTCGACCAGGAACATGTTTCGTTGACATTCTAAGATGAAACTCAATATATATTAGGAAAATACTTCCACGTGTGCCTGGATAAGGGCAGCCTAACCTTAACCTAAAAATAAATGATTTTTTAATGTTTCTAGCCAGGGATATTTTTTTTAAATGGGCACGTCGGAAGTTTTACATA